AGGTCGCTCTTCCTCACTGACGTCGCTGTAGCAGTCGTCTTGCCGGGGCGCCGCCATTTGAGGACTGTGAGTTTCCCCACGTGGATCGTCCTCGCCTTGGATGCTGCTGTCGTCGGACCTGCTAGGACTGCCCTGGTCGTAGCCGATTACCGGTTGACTGCTGCGGGAGCTCTGTTCCGTCGACAGTGCAGAGTCCGGGTTCGTCCGCAACGGGGATCTGATCCCAGGCTGCGTTGGCTGCAGCTAGGCGCATGGCCACTGGAGGGAGAACTGCGTGTTGGTGCAGTCTCTCCGGCTCAGAAGAAGTCTCGGAAGTGCTCGCCGACTCAGATGAGCTTCCGTAGACGAGCTCGGAACTGCCAACCGAACCGGTGGCTACAACCCGTATTTGGCGGAGGCTCTCCTCCAATATGGAGGGTCCGAAGGAGGGCAGTCCTACCTCGTCGACCCAGTGGCTGATGGCGCTTATGGTTGGCTGAGTGGCCTCGTCCCCGGGCTCCAGGGCTTGCAGCTGTGCTAGTCGGGTAGCGGTAAGCAGGTTTGAGTCCGCCTGGCTGCAACTTGGAGTGTCGTCCCCAGGATGTGGACCTAATCCGGCTACGTCCACCCAGCTGCTCGCGGCCCGCGCGACCGATTGGACCTCCTCGCCCAGGGGTTCCAGGACGTGAATGGTGGCCAGTCGAGACACGGAGCACCACAGTGGATCCGCCTGGCTGTACTGCGGGACGTCGTCTGTCGGCTGTTCTGGTCCCTGGTGGTCACTATGGCTGCTGAGTGCCAAAGAGTCGACGGGCGTGTTGGGCAGCGTACTGGCTGACTCGGGCCAGGATAGTGGCAACTTCCAAGGCCGGGGGCTCATGGGCGGTGTCCAAGAGGCCTCGGTGGGGGAAGACCCACGGCTGGATGGGGTGAAGTATCCGCTCTCGGCGCTAGATAGGAGAGAAGAACGTGTTAGCGTGGAGAGTCAGTGATGTTATGGAAGTTCTAGTCGTGTGTCGTCGTGTGTCGGTGACTATGGTGATAACTAGGCGTGACTAATTTGGCGTGGTCTACCTTAAGGAGTTAGAAATCCCCCCCACCCATGGGGAGGGTTGTGGGGCGTTGGCGCTAGGGGTCCCAGGCTCAAGTGGCCCCATTGAATCTCCTTGTCGTAGCAAGGGCCCCGCGGCACATTTTAGTTTGCCCTTTTCCCTTGACCACCCGGCAGTGGCGCACAGGTGTCTCGGGTTTGATGAATATCTAGAGTGGATTCGTGGATCCCTTCGGCGTCCTCTTCTGGGTCCTCGGCGGTCTGATCCCCATTAAAGGGTTTCAAATCGGCTAGATTTGCGTTGCGACGCTTGCGTGTTCCTCGGAGTTGGACTCTGGCGATGTTTGGTGACAGAAATTTTATGATCTTATAGGGACCTTCGAACTTTGGTGCTAGTTTTGCATTGAACGCCTCCGCAGCGTTGGACAGGTGGTGGGTTCGGACCCAAACCCACATCCCAATGGTCGGTCTCCATTCCCGTCGGCGCAAGTTGTAATAGCGACTTTGTTCCTGGGCTGTTCTCTCCATGTTTTCCTTGGCTGTTTGAAAAATGTTCTTGAGATGCTCTGCCTTACTCTGGGGGTCTCTGGACGCTTCGCCGGCCCCTGGTGTAACCTCGTTGAACCAGCTTCCTGGTAATCGGGGCTCACGACCCTGTACTAGGTACGCTGGGCTGAATCCGGTGCTGTCGGAGACACTCGTGTTGATGGCCAGGGTGATTTCCGGCAACAGGTGATCCCATGTTCGTTGGTCCTCTGTGGCGTACTGCGCGATCATCGTTTTGATGGTGCGGTTGGCTCGCTCTGTAGGGTTCTGTTGGGGGGAGTATGGAGCAGTATGTTGGACCTCTATTCCTGCTTTCTTGCAGAATGCTTTGAAGGCCCTACTGGTAAACTGGGTCCCATTGTCGCAGATAAAAGTTTTTGGAGCGCCGAACCTAGCCAGTATTCGCTCCCGGAAGGCTAATTCCAGACTGGTGGCGGTAGCTCGGCGTAAGGGTATTAACTCCACCCATTTGGTGAAATGGTCCAAAAACACCAGTAACATCGTGTGTCCTTTGCGGGACCTGGGCAGAGGCCCTACGAAGTCCGCGCACAGGGTTGAGAATGGTCCCTCCGATTTCCTGGTTAGCATCTTCCCTGCTTGTTTGCGTTGACTCACCTTAAATTGCTGACAGGCTGGGCATTGTCGAACGTAACGAGCGATGTCTTGAAAAAAACCCGGCCAATAATATTGTTGGCAGACTCGAGTGGTCGTTTTCCTGATCCCTAGGTGTCCTGCAGTGGGGTGGTCATGGCATTCTTCCAGAACCCGACGCTGATGGCTGTTGGGTACGCAAAGTCTCCATGCTCCACGGTCTTCTTTCCTAAACGCGTTGTCGAGGTGTCGGTAGAGTTGCCCGTTCTCTTGGATGTAGTCAGGAAATTTCTCCGGGTTGGCTTCGATTTGCCTGATCTTCGCGGTGATCCACTTGCACGGTTCGTCGGTCTCATTCACCTGCTGGAGCGTTGCTAGCGGTTGCCTGGACAGGGCGTCCGCGACGACGTTCTGTTTTCCCCGTCGGTATGAGATGTCAAATTGGAATTGTTGAAGCTCGAGGGCCCATCGTGCGATTCGGCCTGTCGGGTTATCGATTGAGTTCAACCACTTCAGGGCGAGGTGGTCTGTTATAACGTCAAATCGGTATCCTTCGAGGTAGCACCTGATTTTCCTGATTGCCCACACTATAGCAAGGCACTCTTTTTCCGTAGCCGAGTAATTTTCCTCTGCTGCAAGCAACCTCCTGCTGGCATAGGCGATGACTCGTTCGGTTCCATCGACTTGCTGGGTTAAAACGGCTCCAAGGCCGAAGTCGCTTGCGTCGGTTTGTAGTTGGAATTTGAGGTTGAAGTCCGGGCAGGCCAGTACTGGTGCCTCGGTGAGTTTTCTTTTCAACTCCTCGAATGCCTGTTGTTGAGGGTCGCTCCAGGTCCATTTCCTTCCTTTCCTGAGCAGGGCGGACATTGGTTGGACGATTGTGGCGAAGTTCTCCACAAATCGCCTGTACCAGGATGCTACCCCCAGGCATCGTCGAAGTTCCTTGCAGTTAGTGGGGGGCTGGAGTTCTCTTACAGCGGCTATCTTGTCTGGGTCGGTGTGGATTCCGTCTTCGCTGATGACGTGCCCTAGGTAAGTTATGCTGCGCTGGAAAAACTTACACTTTGCTTTATTCAGCTTCAAGTTGGCCTGCCTAAGCCGTCGGAGTACTTCCCGTAGGTTGGTGAAGTGTTCGTCCAACGAGGTCCCGATGACGATGATGTCATCTAGATAGGCGAATGCGTGAGGCTCCATGTCGGGTCCTATCACACTGTCCAGTGCCCGCTGAAATGTAGCAGGAGCCGAGTGCAAGCCGAATGGCATTACTTTCCACTGGAAGAGTCCGCGGCCCGGCACGGTAAATGCGGTACAGGCGCGGCTGTCTGGGGCCACTGGGATCTGCCAGTAACCGCTTTTTAAGTCCAGCGTCGAGATAAACTTAGCGTTGCGAAGTCGTTCCAAGATGTGTCCTATCCGCGGTAATGGGTAGGCGTCGGGCACCAAGTGAGCGTTTAGCTGGCGAAAGTCCACGCACATGCGCACATCTCCTGTCTTCTTGCCGACGAGGACGATGGGTGCGCTGTGAGGACTCCGGGAGGGCTCGATGCGTCCGTCGCGAAGCAGTTCATCAACCTGTTCGTTAATAATTTTCTGCATGGCAGGGTTCTTTGGAAAGTACCTCTGCTTGATGGGCTTGTCGTCCTTCATGACAATCCTATGTTCGGCTATGTGAGAGGTACCGGTCATATGCTCAAATGGGGCGAGTTCCGCTTCGAGAAAGGATTGGATCCGCGCTTCCTCGGGTCCTTCAGTGGTGACCGTTGCTAGGCTGGCTGTCACCCCTTGGGTTTGTCCTGGTGGGTGGGTAGTCGTTGGTGACTTTCGAAAGGGGTTGTTTCTCCGTGCTGCGGCGGCGTCGGCCAAAGGTTTTAAATAAAAAGAGTTATTCCCTGGTGACGGCGTGGGTCGCGGTCGCGGTGTTACGGTGTGGGTCTCCACTTGTAGAAGTGCCGGTGATCGTCGTGGAGCTGCGGTAGGCTCGTTGACTTGTATTCGAGACGCCGATCGTCGAGGAGCTGCCACGGGTGGTACCGTGCAGCGTGGTGATGGTGTTGGTCCGACGGTGCTTGGACTGACGACTACTCGTGGGGTGACGAAGGGTGGTTTGCTTTTGCTTGTTAGCGGCGGAGTGTAGTAGGAGAGAGACAACTGGGCTTTCCCACACTGGATAGTGGTCTTGATCCCGCAGAGGAAGTCGATTCCGAGGATGATCTCGTCCAAGATGGACGGTAGCACTAGCAGTGTGGTCTTAGCCGTATCCCGTCCTAGGGTTACGGTGGTAATCAGGGCTTGGGTGACGTCGGTGGTGGATCCATCTGCTAGGGCAATCCTCGTTCGTACATTCCGGCGATTATTGGTATTCCCAATGTCGTCGGCTACCTTCGCGCTGATGAAGCTCCTTGACGCCCCGGTGTCCAGGGTGGCGTGAAATATCTTCCCCTCGATGCCGACCGTCGCCACGATGCGCCCCCCTTCGAACCGTAAAGGTGGGGTTAGTTCTGGGGTCCTTGGTGTGTGGTCCTCGCTGGTTCCCCGGATGGGCGAGGACTCGGTCCGTTTCCCGGGTTTCGGGCCCGACAGCACTCGTTGGTCCGCACTCCCCTTCTTCCACACTGCCAGCAGAACAAGACCTGGGGATTGGGGCACTCTTGGCGGAAGTGTCCCGTCTCCCCGCAGCGGGAACAAGCGTTCCGGACATCGATGCGATGTTCGGGTACCTGTGCCATCATTCGATTTGTCGCTGGGGTGCCTGGAAGTTCCAGGGGGTGACTCACGTTTCCTGTGGATGGTATGGGAGCTGGAAATCGTCGGGGTTGTCTGTGTGGCATAGCTGCTAGAAAGTTTGTATGCAGTGCTCGATCGCGGTCTCATAGGCCGTGGCCCGTTGGATCAGAGTGGCCAGATCCTCAAAGTCTTGGCGCCTCACAAATAGCTGGTATTCCGGTCGAAGGTTTTGGTAGAGTCGCTCCAGTTCCTGCGCCGGAGTAAATTTTGCCCGCTGCATCAGGAGTCGGAGCTCCACTACAAATTCCTTGCAGCTCTCGCCCGGTTGCTGGTATCTCGTCCGGATCGTGTCTTCCAATCGTTGGAAGTATTGTGGTGGGAGGAAGAATTCAAGAAATTCTTTCCTGAAAACTTCCCACGACACGTCCTGCATTTGGAATGTGCGGTACCAACTTTCCGCTTTTCCTGTAAGCAATCCGGAGATTACTCTGGGGAGTCGTGCGGTCCTGAGTCGGTATGCTTCGGCTTGTACTTCCAGGCGTTCGATAAATGTGAGCGGGTCGGACTGTCCGTCGAATAAGATGCCCCAGCTCCGCAGTTTTTCTGCCAAGGTGGCGGAGGATATTTCCTCGCGTGCAGGTGGGTCCGCGTTTGTGTTCCTTGTTGGTCGGTTGCCTGGTGGTACTTCTAGTCTTAGGGGGGTGCTCCCGGTGTCGATGACTGCTGTGCTTAGCTTCTGTTCCCGGGGTTCTTGTCCTCCCAGAGGGGTCGGGGATTTATCCCTGGGTGTGGCTGCCTCTGGGAACATACTAGCCAATTCTCTGACTCGGTCCAAGAGTTCCGGCTCTAGATCCTCCCGGGTGAGAAAAGTCGCTAGCCGACTGCGCAGTTCTTCGACGGTTCCCCCTTGGGGTAACCCGAACTCGGCTAAGAGGAGTTGGAGTTCCTCCTTGCGGCGATACGGTATCCATCTTACGCCCATGGTTTCCAAGCGACAGAAAGCGGAGGGAAGGGGGGGGGGTACCGAATATTTATAGGACTCGGGGGTCCTTTTTTGGGCACGGTGCTAGGATTCGGGCTAGGATACCGAATATTTATAGGACTCGGGGTCCTTTGGTTGCTGCGCGCGGTGCTAGGATTCGGGCTAGGATGCCGAATGTTGACAGGACTCGGGGTCCTTTGGTTGCGCACGGTGCTAGGATTCGGGCTAGGATGCCGAATGTTTACAGGACTCGGGGGTCCTGGTTGGTGCGCGCGGTACTAGGATTCGGGCTAGGATGCCGAATGTTCACAGGACTCGGGGTCCTTTGGTTGCGCACGGTGCTAGGATTCGGGCTAGGATGCCGAAGGAGTCTGTTGTTCGCGACGATGTTCCCCGCTTGAGGGCCGGAGCTTGACTGACTTCTGGTAGCCCGGTGTGCTCCTCTTATAGTCGCCGGCCACGTGTCCACCGCGTTCGGGACAACGTGGAAAGCGAGAGAGGAGAGAAAAAAAAAATTTTTTCAACCACACCGATTTAAATGTTCCCTTCCCGTTTTCCCCAGAAAAAAAATTCCAGCGTGCTCCGGGACCCGACAATCGCGCTTAGCTCCGTCGTAATCCGCGGCCGCTACGTGCTCCGGGGCCGGCTATGGCTTCGGATCCGACAAACGAGTGCGAGACTCCGTCGTAATCCTGGGCCACCACGCGGTTTCGTAGAGGGAAAATGTAAGGAAAAAGCTGTGTGTGTGTGTGTAAGAGAAAAAAAAAAGGTCTGATCTTAGGGTCTGGGTGTCTATCTCATGGGTCTTTACCCCAAAAAAAAAAAAATTTTATTTTCTTGAGAAAAAATTATATATATTTTTTTTTTTTTTGCGGAAAAAATATTTAAAAATTTCCCGAAATCCTTGAAGTCCCTGCTCGGGCGCCATGTAAGGAAGTTCTTGGGCTGGGATATTGTGCTCAGGGCTCCCAGGGTCACTTACAATAATTTATTTCAGTTCAAGGACTCAAGGGGGGCGAGATAAGAATGACCCTATTCAGACTTCGTGGCCGGAACTCACAGCGGGTTTGGATCCGACAATCGAGCAGAGCTCCGTCGTAATCCCTACCCGCCACGCGCCTCGGAACCCGCAATGATCCTTCGATCCGACAAACGAGGCTAGCTCCGTCGTAATCCTTGGCCAACCCGCGGTCCGGCCACGATCGACAGAACCAGCAACAAAAGAAGAGGAAGGGGGTCTTGTGGGCACTGTCACCCAGAGATGCCGACCATGGGCTGAAATCGGCAACGGAGTTAGATCCGGCGATCGAGTGCAAAGCTCCGTCAAAATCTCCCTCAGCCACACGCTCCGGAACCCGCACTGACCCTGGACCCGACAAACGAGCCTAGCTCCGTTGTAATCCACGGCCACTACGCGCTCCGGGACCGGCAACAGCCTTGGATCCGACAAGCGAGTGCAAGACTCCGTCGTAATCCTTGGCCACCACGCGGTCCGGCAACGATCGGCAGAGAAACATGGGTTTTCCTAGATGGAGGCAAGAGAAAACAGTTCCCATTCCCCTCCTATGTTCACTCACACACAAAACACGGTCAGACAAATAGTTTTCTTTAGGTTTCAAATATTTCGTTTTCTTTATTTAAGTTTTGTGCAAGGGGGGTGTACAGAGCCTCCTTGTCACAAAACTCCAGTCCAGTTCATGTTTTTCTAAACAAAATATATCCGGAAAATATATATTAGACGCTTACGTTTCCGTCCACAGCAAGTCCAGCCAGTTGATTTCCCATGCCTCCGCAGCGGGAATAGCGTCGCGCACTCCATCCACATCACCGCACTCGTTTTCCATTTAATTGCACGTTTTTTACGCACTTGTCCGAAAAATTTTCACAGCGGGGTAGTTTTTCCGGGTTTGTCACGTCTGGATCTCTAGTCTGGCACGCACGAAGCCTCAGGAGTAATTGCCTTTCCCCTCTTTTGATATTGGCGCGCGTTCCCCATGCATTGCGTCGGCGTCGCTGCCGCTGCGCTTGCGCTTCGGCCGTTTGCAGGCAAAATTATTTCCCCTTGCTCGAAAACATCGGTCGGGTCGGTTGCAATCTGGTTCGATCGTGCGAAATTGTTTTCCCCTTGCTCGAAAACATCGGTCGGGTTGGTTGCGATTTGGTTCGATCGTGCGACGAAAAGCTTATGTGTGTGTTGGCTTTGTGCAGGTGTTCAAACTGTTCGAAGCGGGCGAGAGTGTGTTGGTTGCGCTCAGGCGTTCGATGGTTCCAATGTGTGTAGCTGCTGACGTTCGAGGTGTGTGAAGAAGAGAGCGAGAGCGCGTTGGTCGCGCTTAGGCGTTCGATGGTTCAATTGTGTGCAGCCGCTGGTGTTTTGAAGTGTGTGAGGAAGAGAGCGAGAGCGCGTTGGTCGCGCTCAGGCGTTCGATGGTTCAACTGTGTGCAGCCGCTGATGTTTTGAAGTGTGTGAAGAAGAGAGCGAGAGCGCGTTGGTCGCGCTCAGGCGTTCGATGGTTCAACTGTGTGCAACTGCTGCGTTGGCTATTAAAAAGCTAAACTAAAAATATTCCTACATGGCTACAAAATCCTACATGGCTACAAAAATCCTACATGGCTACAAAAATTCTACATGGCTACAAATTCCTACATGGCTACAAAGTAAATTGTGAGGGCCGTTCTACGGTTCCTCACATAGTAGATATTATACTATTTAAACTACATACAATTATTTACAATTATTTACAAAATTTTTGATGGATTACTGGATGACCCGGGAAGCGAGGCATTGGAGTGTAATCTCTTCAGCCTTCGAAGAGGTTGCGGGTTGACAAGCCTGCTAGCCAGTGGGTTTGGGTGCGCCATGAGCCTGTCACTGTATCGGCTGCTGTGGTGGTTAATTTGATCGCCCACCGGAATAAGGCGAAGATCAGCTTCGATTGCCCGGTTGGTCACATACCAGGGAACCCCGGTTGCCCGCCGAGCAGCACGTGCCTGCACCACCCTTAGCCTGTTCAGCTTGTGCCTTGAAGCTGTGCCCCAAAGTTGGATGCCGTATGTCCAAGTTGGCGTGAGGATCGCTTTTAGCAATAGAGCCTTCGTCGACAGCTGGAGACTTTTGGACTTCAAAAGCCAATCCATCTTCTGGAGCTTGCGAAGACATTTGGATTTGATGGCCGTGATATGGGAGTTCCATATCAGCCGGCGGTCCAAGTGGACACCCAGGTAGCAGTGAGAAGTGACGTTTTCGATGTTGCCACCATCGAAAGTCAGATCTATGCCGATCAAGGGTCTGAGTAAAAATGTCACGCATGCCGACTTATTGGAGTTAATTGCAATGTTCTATTGCTTGGTCCATCTCTCCATCGCATACAGCCAGTCTTGAACTGCCGCCGCTGCTGTCTGCTGACATGAGTGGGACGCAAGCATGGCCGTGTCATCTGCATAAGTAGCCAGCAGCAGAGAGGTAGGTGACATACCTTCGGGAAGTATGACGGGTAACGGCGCTGGCATGTCACTGGTGAAGAGAGTGTAGAGGAATGGACCAAGTACACTTCCTTGAGGCACTCCTGCGTGAATTTCTGCCAAGCTGGAGCGAGAGTCTCTTACTGCAACTTCAAATGTTCGATCAGCGATGAAAGAGCTCATTATAGCGAAGTAGGGTGCTGGGAGAAGATCCTTCATTTTGAAGAGCAAGCCATCGTGCCACACCTTATCGAAGGCTTGTTTCACGTCAAGGAAGACGCCAACGGTGTGTAGCTTATGCTCGAGTCCCTGAGTGATGAGGTCGACCAGGCGATGGACTTGTTCTGGGCAGCCATGTGATTTCCTGAATCCAAATTGATGCTTCGGTATGAGACGTGCTACTTGGGGCAGTTCCATCAGTCGGCTAAGAAGAATCCGCTCGAAGACCTTGGAGAAGGTGGTTAGCAGGCTTATAGGGCGGTAAGAGTCGACCTGCGTTGGAGTCTTGCCTGGTTTCGGGATCATGACAATCCGCGCACGTTTCCACTGCCTTGGAAAGTGACCCAAGCTTAGCATGGCGTTGAAAGTTTTTACCAGTGCTAGGACTCCTTTGCGTGGAAGAGACTTTGCCGCTCTATTGTCGATGCCGTCGTGTCCAAGGGACTTCTTAGGTTTTAGCGCCTTAAGATGCAACATGACTTCTTGCGTCTAATGGGGCGGGCAGGTTGCATAGGAGCGCTTAAAAAGTTGGCAACCTCTTGACGCTGGAAAGCGTCTGGACGTTGAAATGGCGTGAAGGTGGAGGCCAGGTGCTCAGCAAATGCATTTGCTTTCTCACAATCTGACTTGAGCCAGTGGCCACTGTGACTCTGTATAGGAGATAGGAAAAGCGGCTGTCTCTTTATTCCTCTCGTGAGCTTCCATATACAGAAATCGCTGCAACTATCCGGGCCAGCTCCTTCCAACAGTGAATCGATGTTCTTCTGGCGTGTTTTTGCTAGCATTATGTGCAGTCTGTTTGTTACGCTTAATAAAAGCTGCTTAGTTGCAGCATCACCCGTCACAATGTAGTGCCTTCTAAGACGCCTTTTTTGGTCCAGCAGTGTCCTTGCCTCCGAGGATAGTATGGACGCCCTTCTATTAGCTGGGAGACCAGATGGACGCTGAGGTGGCGTAGCTTGCTGTGCAGCTTCTGCAATTGTTGTTGTGAGGCAGTCGACGTACGCATCCAGATCGCTGCACGAAATGATCGGGAAGTTGAGCATTGTGTGCGTTTCGATGTACGACTTAAAAGTCTCTATGTTTGCATGTGGTGGCAACATTTTGGGGACTCCTTTGAAGAATTGAGCTTGTTCTTCCAACAAAAAGAGCAACGGCAGGTGGTCCGATGACAGCTCAGTCAAAACTCTAACCGTGATCTGTTGCTGTCTGAAGCCCTTTGAAATTCCGAAGTCGATTGCGCTGGGGGTGGCGTTCGCACGATACGGATAGCAGGTGGCCTCTCCAGAAGCTACAACATCGATGTTTTCATCGGCCAG